ATATATATATATGAGAGACCGAATCTTAAGTTTTGGAGAGGGAATCATTCTATGCTAAAATCAGCATCCCCCAGCGGGCGGGGCGGTGGGCATTGAAATCTTAAATAGGAACCCCCATTTTTTATTTCAGACTCGGATTCTACGGACAAAAATACATAAGTTATGTCTGACTTTCTTCTGATTTGTGATAAATGGCGTGTAATCGCAAAAATTTGATTTCTGAAGATTTCCGACTGTTATTTGAGTGGTTTTGAGCGTACTCGATTATTTCTGAGTGGTTAATAAAAATCCGTATTTTCTACAGAATTCAATAAACTACTTTTGGCGTAACCTAGGAACAACGACGTGGACGTAATAGATTTCTGTTCCCTTGGGGGGCTTGTTTTCAGTGAGTCCCCTTGCCTCTGACTATCGGAGTGCTGGTTTTAGATGATTCTACAAATACCTCAGCATTTATTTAAATTAAGTGCTCAAAATAATGGACCTGAACATCAGTGCAATCATTGATTCGTCCTACAAATGAACGAACACATCGCATAAGCATATCTGGTGTAATCGCGTCACAAGCGTCCCTTATTCGTTGCATCATGATTTCACGAGTAGTAGGTGTTTCTTTATAAACGACATCTTTTAGGTAACCCCACAAAAAGAAATCTGGTGAAGTAAGGTCTGGTGATTTGGCTGGCTAGTGCACTGGTCCTTCTCTACCGATCCAACGATTATTGTAATCCAGATCTAATACCTCGCTTACTACTAATGAGTAATGTGCTGGGCAACCATCATGTTGAAACGACATGTTTTGTCGCACTTCTGAACTTACGTCTTCGAGCATTCTCGGTAGTTCTTTATGAAGGTTTCGGTACTTGTCACGAATTACCGTCAATAAAGTATGACCCGATAAGTTTATCGCCAATTATTCCACACCAAACGTTAACCGACCAAGGTCGCTGATGATTTACTTGTCGAATCCAGTGTGGGTTTTCTACACTCCAAAAATGCATGTTATGGCGGTTAACTTCACCGTGGTTTGTAAATGCACCTCTTGAACAAGGATCATGACGGCACTGTCTTTGAGAATATTGTATACACGGAGCGGACGCTCCTGGCGCAGAAAGGATACGAATGTTGAATCATTTTACATTAAACCCATCGTGCGATCAGCTGATATTCTCGAAAAATATTGGTTGAAGAGACGAGCCACTTGTTCTGGATTCTTCACTTCTTTATCATATTTTAAAACGACGTGGCTTTGGTAAGATTCCTGCTTTAGATATGACATATTATTCTGATGTAGCTCAACGTATTGCATAGGAGTTTGCCGGTTTGTAACGAAATCGTATTATTGTTTCTGTGTTGCAAATTATATGCGTGTCATCAGAAAACAGAACTATTCTCCAATATTTACAAGACCAGGTCATATCATGTACGTATAAAAGAAAGAGAATTGGGCCTGAAATGGGACCCTGCGGGACCCCATGCTAAATTGGCAAATAATTCGAAATATCCTATGAGTAAATGATGTTCTTTCTTGCAAGTAGGTTTTCCAGTTTTTGCGATCGATGTTTAAGGTACGTGGATATCCAATCTTGGACAATACCACGAATTCCAAAGGTGAATTTGAGAGCAAGTTATGTTATGTTCAATGATGCCAAAAGCTTTCGAAAGATTTAAAAATATTCCATTAGATGCTCATTTTGATCCATTAATGAAGCAATATCATTAAGAAAAGATAGTATGCCAATTTCTATAGATTTTGATTTCCACATCCGTATTAAGAGTCTCAAAACTTTGATTTTCGTGAGAAAAGTTCCATTCATTAATAAAGAAAATCTCTGAAATATTTTTGAGAAAACTGACAGAAGAGACATTGGCAGATACTTTTGAATTGAATTTTAGTTGCCTTTTTTTTAAAGTGGCTAATTTCTGCTGTTTAATGCCCTCAATCCCACCTGGACTGGCACGCGGACATACCCAACAGGTAATATACTTGAAAATATTATTGACTGCCTGAACCTAATTCTTCCGAATAATAGCGACAGCACAACTTTTCCCTGCCTTCACACTTTCTCGTCCGTAGATCTGGTCTCTGCAGTCCATCTGTCTCTACCATCTCTGAGTGGAGTGTCCTTGACAACATGCGTGACAGTGACCATTTCCCCATTATGGTCAATTTCGATATTCCCGACCTAAATGTTGTCTGCATTCCTTGTTGGCTAATCTATCGAGCTGAGTGGGGAACATTCGAGAAAGAAAGGCAGGTATCGGAAAGCTACCCAAACGACATTGATGCTATGGTTGCACATTTTACTGAGGCAGTTCTTTATACAGCCTCAATTACTATCCCGAAGTTGTCGGGTCGCCTACGACATCCTCCTTGGCCATGATGGAATGTCAACTGTGCCACCGCAGGGCGTGATCGGAAGCGGGCACTGACAAAGCTTAGTAGATTTCGAATCATGAATAATCTGATAAATTATAAAAGATCCCGAGCTAGAGCTAGATTGGCACGCGGGAAAGCATGGCCGCGTTATGGAGAGCCTATACTCATCACTCTCTAACGGTACTTCTCCTAAAGTGGTGTGGCGAAAGGTTCGATAGATCGAAGGAAGACACTACGAGCAAATCTCCAGCTCCGTACACAACCCTTCTGGCTTTCTGAACACCAAAAGAAGAATGGAGAACTGCAGATAAGATTTCTCGAGTCGCGTGGAGGAAGATTGCAATGCCCCTTTCTCCATGAAATACTTTGTGATGAAATACAATGTTCATCCCTAATCAGGTTGAAAATGCGGAGAAAAGAACGAGCGTTTTTCGGTAGGTGTTTCAGCATTTCATTACGTTCTGGAGCAGAAGCTTTCGCGCAAGCGAGGGCAGAAAAGCGTGCTACCCCGATCATCCCAAGGTCTCAATCTGTACGTTGATGTTTCTGAAGACGTCGAATTCGATGGTCGTTAGTGTAGTGAATGTTTTTTCTGTCAGGAGAAGGGAGTGTTCCTCCCCCGCTGGATGGTGATATCCGATGCTCGCCTTCATATCGACTTGCGGCGGATTTCCGTCTCCAGATATCTTTCCAACGGGACGCTACTTAGGACAAGGAAGAGGAAGGACAAATAGCGCTCTGTCCGACGCTCATTGGTTAGGGTACTGCTCCGGCACTCACCTGGTATTGAGCGAAAATAACACGGAAATATTCCGATCAGAGCAGCCAGCCACTCAAATTTTCCTCCAGACAGCGGTCCAAATCGATCTATTTATATCTAGTGTCAAAATTTCGCTACCGTTGGTATAGGAACCCTAAAATCTCCCAACCTGAGTGGTTGCACACTCAGTTGGGCTTAACTCAGTCGGTTAATCCGTTGAAGCGGGTCGGTTCACGTCCTGGCGAGGGATACAGAGAAGGCTCTCATGTATTCCTTCCTTCTTTATCCATGCCCTTGCTCTCCATTCCATGACAACTTCACTCATCACTGGCCTTCGCTGTGCGCTGAGACCCCACCGCATGCCGTGCCGGAGGGAATACGAGGTGACCTGGGAGTTGAAGGGTATGTGCATTCTCATGCTCATTTGCATGCCACCTTGATGCTGAAACCTTGGGGAGGACTTTGTCTAACTCTATTCCTTGTCCCTGGCGACCAGTGTGAATGGGCGGTTGTGATCCCCTGCTAGTGCGGCGAGGGAGTAGACATGTTACTCTCTACTTATCCTCGTGGTAATGAGGAGTGTCCCCGTGTAGGACTGCGGTGGTGGGAATTCCAAGGATGGATTTTAATCCGCTCTAAGCATTCGAAAAGTAAGCAAGCTTCTCTTGTAAAGACTTGAGTAAGCCGACCAATACCGGTTTTCTGTCAAGGGAGTGTACCGAACCAGCCTTCCTTTTAAGAGTATCACCTCTGTGCAATTAGCTTGATCTATTGAAGAATGTTTTAGTAAGCTTTAGGCGGTGATTATTCATAGAAGTGGTATAAGCCTAATTGAAACTAGCACCGTCAAAGAAATCGCTAAATTATGCGACCCCACAAGCAGAATTGAGTTGTATATAACGTGACACTTTGAAGACGGAGTTAACTCTTCACTACGTGTGTCCATATTGACGACAAGGCTCCGACCATCAGTGTACACCAGTGATTCTCAACCTTTTTCTTACATTGTCCCCTTTTAAAATTATACTTTCTTCACAGACCCCTAACATGTTTCTCTATTATGAAATTGTAACTTATTTATTAGATGTTTTGTGCAAATAAATCAGAAAACAATTCAACGCCAATAATACTTTTATTGTAATCAATGTGATCTTGAATACACAGATCAATCGGTAGTTCACACGCAGCAATTGACCCCCATTCGACCCATTATTCTTAATTGACCCCCTTTAATATTTCATCAACCCCCAAGAGGCCAATAGCAACCGTTGGAAACCCTGATCTACACTATTAACATAAAACATATAACAAAAGTATTGTAGTATAATTTCTAGGCCAATGACCCCTTCTCGATCTGGTTTCTTGTCCAGTTTCCCTGAGCCATTGAGCAAATTCTGAGATGGCCCAAGACATAATATTGACTCGTCATACACGATTGTAATTGTATATGTGACTCAAAATATTATTATTATTGTTATTATTATTATTATTATTATTATTATTATTATTATTATTATTATTATTATTATTAAAAAACATTTTTGAGTCAGCCCAAAGCACTTTCCAGTGTACTTTACGCTAAAATATATTTTCTCGAACTTAGTTAAGCAAACAATTACGTATGCTCACCCACTCTGCGGCCACAAATCTTGTGGCATCGGGAATCAATTTGAGTACGAGAGGAGTGAATTTTTAATATTGTGCAAGCAGGATATTGAAAGTCACAATTGAGCGGCGAAAAAATTATCGAAAACAGTCACGTGGATGGTAGAGCTTACCAACTATTGATCACAGTAAAAATTAAAAAGTAGTGAATTGTCTAATCATGAATCGAAATTTGAAATCGATAAAGAATATTACCATTTCTTAGAAATAGCGACTTGGAACTTATGTGAACGGTGAAAAGGATTGTACAATAGTATGAAAATAAGTAGTCAATGAGGTTGGTAAGACTGCCAGAACATGTTGACAGCAGCAGAGATACAAAAGGCGCAAGGCGTTTGTAAAGTACGTGTTGGTCTGGTGTTGGTTGGACGGTGTTAGGTGTCGAAAACTAGAGGAATTGACACGGGTTGAGTATTTCTTTTATGTACCATTTGTTTGACAATGGCTGGTTTAGTGCATGCTGAGTGTTGTCCGTCGACTGTTACTTTTACTGTCTGGCATTGTAATTGTAATTATGATGTGTCGTTTTTAACTCCACCAATTTTGTTCATTGTTTGTTATAAATATTGTTTTAACGTGACAGTGAAAACTATGTATGGACAAGACATATTTTCAATGTTAACATTTAATTTTTCAAGAATTTTATTGTATATTATTGTTTGAACTTCATTCTTGAAGACTAAGAATACTCTAAAGGGTTAGGGTCTGGCTTGAGATATTCTTCCATGTAGTTTATTGAATTAATACAAACGATGACTTTTGAATGAAAATTTCTGGAATATTTTTGATATTTGACATTTTCATCACATTCAGTTTCTGGTGTTTGGAGAAGAGTGCACGTTTGTAATCTTAAAACTGTAACTTGAAGTAGGCATAATGTTTGCTCACCCATATCTCTTTTGGAATGCGCAGTTTACATTTACAGGTTTATAGGTACTTTCGGTGAAATGATGTGGAAATTATGAAGATGAAGCAGCAAGAATATGTACGTTACGTCAGTCACGATGGCACTCTCAAGTGCATGCCACCTAATGTTGACTATTACAATTACAGCAAGCATCGGCCATATTGGCTGGCTTTCATTGGCATCTTCTTTAGCCGTCGGGTTCTTTTAACTGCTCTAAAATTTGGCTTAGCTGCCTGTATTATGAATCGCTATGAACGTCTTGGATTTATTATAATGATGCTGTGCTTGGCTTTTTAGTTTTTATTTCAAACACAGGTATGAACAAACCTAGTTTTCTTCTTGAATTCAGTTGTTTATTTTGTAAGACAGTTTGAATTCTGATTATGAATGAATATTAGAGATTAATTATTGTTGCATTTCAGTTTAGTTGCAGGCCACAAGATATGAAATAATTGATATTTTGTTATATTGTATTATCATGTTGAAATTAGCCTCAAGAATTTTATTACCCTTCCACCAAAGACCCTACATTTACTATAAAGTATGGAGTAGAACTGAAAACCCTAGAAGTCATTGCCTTCAAAGCACAGTAGCAAATAATTGTTTGTGCAAAGTACCATCTATTAAAAATGGCAGTTTTATGTCACATAATACATTTGCTGCTAAAGTGTTTTTCCACACATCAAATCCCAAAAATGCTCTCCCTCCTGTCTTGGTTATTTTGTTACGGCCATTGACAAAATTCTTGGCAATTGCATTTGGTCGCAGTATTAGGATGTGGTGGAAACGGTTGCCTTTAGTGCAAAGGGAAACGTACATGAGAACACTGAAACAGAGAAAACTTTTATATTTGGGTAAGAATAATACAGTCTTTTACTGTTATGACTTGCTTTATAACCAAGTTGAATGTTGAATTGCAAGGTGTATATTTGCAGCATTGCTGACCCCTGTTCCTGCTGGAGCTGTGTATTTTTATATTGCTCACATAGAAGAAACTCCTATTACTAAAAGAAAGCGGTTTATTGCATTTTCTAATGAACAAGTGTTGCAACTGGCAGAAATAGAACAAAAAGTTGTATGTATTTTTTGTAGCTATAACCTATATAGTATTTTGGGACAGTGTTTTGTATTAATCTCTGCAGTCAGGGCAATCCTGAAGTGATGTGGGTAATATGATATCTTTGAGAGATATAACACTTGCAACAAATTTGATAACTGAAGAGGAGAAGAAATAAAAAAAAGACAAATTTTGACAGAGTGTAAATTAACCTAATTGTTGCAAATGAAAGCATTCAAACGGAATTATAAGCCCTTGATTCTTGAATTACGTCAGTGAATATTGTTACATTGTTAGTAGAGATTGAGAGAAGTATTTTCTTCTATGTGATTGGGAGCCAATGAGAGACATACTTTAATAACGTTTGGTGTAAATGGTGATCATATATATTCTACATGAATAAGGAATGTTATTTCTTGCATAGTAAGTTGCAATTATTTAATGAATAATGGGATGGCGAGTAAATTTGGAAACCTTGAGGACTGGTAATGTAAAGAAGTTACGGAAATGTTGGGAAATTTGATTTGAAAATCAGGATTTTTAATAATTATTTTATTCATACAGTAGTAGAGTGCAAAGGTAATTATAATGAAATGTAGAAATAATAACAGCATACACAAAAATACAAAGTTGTCTGAAGATGGACATGGATATTCAAAATATACATTAAAAAAATACATAGTATAAATCAAGAAAATAAGGAAAATGGTGTTACATGGTTATAACTATAAATGCTAAAGATACACATCCAAGGAAAAAGTGTAATGTATGTAACTATTTTGGCCGATCCAGAGACTTTTGGGAGGGTACATTCAACAAGTTTTGGTCAAATGACATATTACAGATTTTGTAAAATGTTGCAGGCTACACTCTGCTCATGCTGAGATAGGATTTTATTAGTTTTAATAATTATCTAGAAATATTTTTGCTTGAAAGTTTCATGACAAATTAAAATTAATTGTTACTGAAAAATTGTAGGGTGGAAAATTTCCCTTATATTCCTCCCCGTGAATCTGCACTTGCTTTAAATTATTAAGTCTCAAGAGACCTGAATTTGGACGAGGTTTGAGTTCAGCCTGTATTCCTTTAGAACTTGAGATTAAATCTGCACATTACATTACTACACATCTTCACCTATGCATTACTGATGTTTATGTCTGAGCAGTAGATTCTTAATAGCAGGACAGATGATGGAGTTGGCTCTCTTTTCAGGGTTAAGAAACTGGAACTACTTGCTCCATCTACCCCAGTATCACTTCTGTAGTGCTAAGTACTTGTTCTCCTAAGGTGGGTTGTCAATTGTTTTATAAGGCCTGTGTCACACGAGCTTTGTGTTGATGCATGTTAAGAAATGTCATAGATTGCTTTATCTTGTGTGGAATGGACAAGGGTGATTGTGTGCTGTTTCACTTTAGATAGTGTTAAACTATGACCCACATCAACACAATGCTTGTGACACAGACCTAAAGGAGAGACCCACCAGTTTCCACAATAAAGAATTAGGATGGGCATTTCAGGAATTTCTATTGTTGGACAGAAAGTACTGCCATTGATTTTTTTCTTTAATCAGTGTTTTACTATGACCTTCATAAGGTTGGAAGGTCATACAATAACTGTATAAAATTTTATTTCAATGAGGTGAATGATTATTTGTGTTCAATGCAAAGTAGGTTGTAGAAAAAGCCCCTGTTGTTCTTTATAGCTTTAATTAACCAATCCAGAGGAAAATTGTAAATTTTAATTTGTGAAGGTTATAGTTAATGCGAGTTCTCGGCCTACGTTAAATTAGACATCATAAAAAATAATGGATCCAATATGGAGCCTTTAAGAACACCACTGTGCACTGGATTTGAGAGAACTTTGCCAGCTCTAACTCTTAATTGTTCTGATTTCAGTAAATGCAGTGATCCAGTTGAAGAGCATTTTTTGGATGTCAAACTGCTTAAATTGCAAAGTAGTGTTCTATAAGGGATCTTATCAAAAGCTTTTTCATAATCAAGATAAAGAACTCTAATTGGCATGTCTTTTATTGAGCTCTTTTGACTAATGATTTAATCATACCAAAATATTTGTCACTTAGATCTGCCATGATGAAGCCATGACAGTTAGGTGTTAATGATTGTCAATCAAGAAATCTTAGATACTATAAACAATTATTTTTCTTTGCATTTAAAGATGATTAAGTGAACAAATTCTCAGTCAGTATGTATAGTTTTGTCACTTGACTACTGATGCAGATTCAAATAAGTTGTTTTCTGTGTATCAAAATTTACATAATTGCCAAATACATCTTCACAATGACACTATTTATATGATACAAATATCCTGTGAAGAGAATGAGGTATCGTACATTGTTCTTAATAAAAATCTACATACCACTTACCAAATGTCTTTAGGGATGGGATTGAAAGTAAGGAATTCTTCCTCCAGTGGATCTGTTCCTGCACACACTCTAAGAAGTTTAACAATCCAGAAATAACCAATTCTCCTTATGTATTCACACTAAAATGTTCTCATTATTTTGAAAGTACAGCTTTCAAAAATATTTTTTCAATGCTGAAGAAAATGTATTACTTGCTTTACAACAATACTGAGTTAACCCTCTAAATTACTTGATTAGGGCCCAACAGAATTTTATTTTCCGTAAGAATATGGAAATATTATTGAAATGGAATTTTAAGACAAATTTGACATTATTATGAAAGACGCTTGTAATAAATGTTTACATCACATGGAATATATTGTAAATGGTGAGATGGTAGTTTTGGCAGCCACGAGATATAGGGTATGCTCATTTGCTTTTGTAACCTACCAATTTGCTAAAAACAAGTGTTGTATCTCTCAAACACTGTTGATTAATGAATTCATTGTAATATAATTGTGAGGTCAAACATGTTTGAAGAATGTAATGGTAAACATGTTATGAGGCATTTTATAAACACAGTACAATCCTGCATATCTGAAATAATTGGGACTAGACGCTTTCCGGATTAATGTATTTTTCAACTTAAATGGTTGTTCATTTTATAACACCCTAATACATACATTAGTAGTTATCGAGTACAGATTTTATCTCTAAATGCAACAGTAACATGGAACAGAGTTAGTGTTGTGATTAGAGATACAAACTACCATAACTCTGGACAGGCTAGTCAAAGCAATAGTGCAGACATGTTTTTGTGGCATTTGTACTCTTTGGCTTCTATTCTTTTTCAAAAAAAAATGTAACTTGACTTTTTCAAACTGTATTTCTGCCCAATATTGAATAACTTATAATATTAAAACTTGTAGTTTCAAAAGATATACATAAGTAATTTTTAATGTAAGAAATGTTTACTTCCCCTTTCCCCGAAAAACTTCACTGATTTGAGTTTTGGAATAATAGTAGGCTTTCCAAGTACGGACATTCCAATTAATAAAACTCTAATGTATAAGGTATGTCAAGATAATTATTGGATGGAATGAAACAATATTTGAGAAGTTGAGGTGTAAATAATGGTACCTGACGTTTCATAGAGCAAGGCTGTGTGACATTTCTGTTTACATAAGCAGCACATCATAATGTAAGAGAAATATTGTTGCCATTAGTAGTTGTTCTGGAATCTACGTTGAATCTAAGGAAAGCTATTTCTTCCCTGTCAATGCCAACAATTTCAAGTGCATTTCACTCAAAATTCCATATTCTGTTATTTACATGCCTCATATAATCTACCTAAAATACTTCGAATTTGAGAACAATTTGTGGATAGTACTTGTTAACAAATTGTAGTAGATATCTTTAGTTTTTACAAAAGTTCAAAATGAACTCTGTAGTCAGTGTAAGTGTGTAGTGAATGCAAAGTGGAAGATTGGTAAATGCAATTTATGTTGAATGACCCAACCTTTATTATTGTTTTAGTTTTCCGGTTAAGTAGCAGTAAAGACTCGTTGCAATGAACTAAATCTTAAAATGGGTTTGAGGATGCTACTACTTTTGAATGATCTGAAACATTAGAGTAAAGTTTACTCACTACTGACTCTATTCTCCAACCTTCTCTGATGTTGGGTTACCATGAGTTTATGTTCTTTGACTTGTGGAAAATGTGGAAATCGCACACAAAATATGCTTTCTGCCCATTGCCTCAAAAATAAAATGCACGTATTTTTCCCATTTTTTAAGAGGCAATGGCCAGGAAGCATATTTTTTGTGCTATTTCCAAGAGTCAAAGAATGTAAACTCACAGTAAACCGAAATCAGGGAAAGATGGAGAATATGGTCAAAAGCGAGTAAACTTTACCCTAATGTTTTGGACTGTATAAAAGTAGCTGCATTTCAGCAAATATTAATCCTCCACTTGCTCGTTCACATAAAATGCTTTCATATCCCCACTACCATTCTTTTTGAAAATTACTTGAGTTAGTTTTACATTGTTATGCAAATCTGTGAATCTTAATTGATTTTTCAAAATTGAAAGGCACAATTACCAGATGCAATCTCATAAAAAAGTAAATTTTGTTGAATGACATGAGCATTAGGGAATATCAATCTATGAATTTGTTAGTTACTTGGAGTCATTCTAATTTTTGTTTTGTATGTGATCTTGGAGGTATTGAAGAAATATATGCATTTTTAGATAACTGATGAACATGAAAGATCTATATTACCTGCTGCCCATCCAGCTTATTGCCGTGTGTTGAGAGTTGTTTCTCGTTTGCTTGATAGCAACAAGGATGTTGAAGGCATTAATGAACATCTTTGGCGTATTATTGTTGTTGATGATAAAGATATTGCTAATGCCTTTGTTCTTCCAGTAAGTAATTTTATTTATTATTTTTGTTTTTATTGTTTATGAAGACATGCTTTCCAGTGTCAAGTTATTACTGTTGGTCAGCTTTTTAATAATTAATAAAAGAAACTGTTTAATTTATTCAAACTTTGTCTGTAATGGTATAACTCTATTAGATGTAAAATATTTATCATTAGTGGGTAGTTCTCATATTTAATCATATTTTTGAAATGTCTCAAATTTGTGTTGTAATTCTTGTATTTTTAGGGCTTTTTAACAATTTCATTCTTTAAATTAAAAATAGCCAAATATAAATTTCTATATGAATTATTTCAATAGTAATAGTAAAAATAGAATTCAGTTTTATGTTAACTACCACTTAAATGATTATGTCACTTGAAATTACCATTGGTCGGCATTTTGGCAGGTCGTAACATGGTGAATTTCTGACCAAACGTAGTGTGAATATTAGACCATTGATTTGCACAGTAGCCACTGACGTGAATGCTAAACAAATTTGAAAATCTCCTACTGTTGTGTAAATAGAAATAACGTTGCCCCATTTTTTAAATTTAATGTAAATAAAAAATGTACTCTACTTCACAAGAAAAGGGGATACCAAAAAATTGGAAAGAAATTAGCTACATTTTGATGAGCATAACTTCCACAATTTTTATGCAAAAGGGATATATTTCCTGTGAAAGGTGGAGGTGTCATTTACAATGGTTTAAGTGAATTCATGGCCTCAATATCCCTTACGTTGTCATGAAAGCAAAATGTTTTTATTTATCTATCTGTTTAGTTATTATTATTATTATTATTATTATTATTATTATTATTATTATTATTATTATTATTATTGAAGCTTCCTATTGATTCCTAAACAATGATACATCTATTATCAGGCTATTCAAGTGTCAACAATTCCCTTCAAACCAAAAAATTATCAAAATTGTCATCTATTTTGCATGATCCCTTGCAGCACCATAAATAATGAGACTAAATATGATTAGATTTGACTAAATATTGTCAGTAGCGGCTACTAATATATATGAAGCAATAAATTAAAAGATTTGGATGCCATTGCATTTCATTTGAAGAAAACTAATCATTACTCCTTTTGTTGATAGAATGGCACCATTTTCATATATACAGGCATGTTAGAAATGTGTACAAATGATAATCAACTGAGCATTGTGTTAGCCCATGAAATGTCTCATACTATTCTTGGACACACGGTGAGTTCCTTTGTGAAGAATTCTTGTGATCCATAAATCAACTCTTACAAGTTTTTCTTTGAGCAAATTCTTATTTATTTTTTAGGCAGAACGCATGAGCCATGCTCAATTGGTTGAGTGTTTACTTTTTGTTCCTGTTGTGATTATTTGGGCAATCCTTCCTGATTTGGGTGCTATGCTTACACAATGGTTTTCTGGTGTATTGACCAAAATGTTACTCCATCTTCCATTCAGTCGACAGGCAGAAATGGAGGCAGATGATGTGGGACTCACATTGGCTGCTAAGGCAAGTTTTCATGACATATTGTAAGTTCTTTAAAGTAGATAAAAGGAGAAGTGTTTTCACAACGTGATAAAATGTTCATTATGTTAGTTTCTTATCTTTCCTAGAATAGCTAATCTGTATTAGTCATGCATGTCAAAAACATACCACTCACTCTGATATAATTTTTTTTGCTGGCTGTGGTGCTAATTTCAGCATCACAGCCTTCGACATAGCATCACATAGACAACCAAGATCATTTGCCTCTGGCCACAGAAGCTGTAGACCTAACTTAGATTTTTACACACTTCACCCAAAAGTAAACAAATGAATTCCTTTTACTTGAACGAGCTAAGCAGCTATCAGAAGGCAAAGAAAAATTAAAATATTTTCTTTATATAAATGTTTATTATCAATAAAAAACCAGTCTCTTTTTTAATTCAAGACATTCAGTTGTTTTTGTATGTGGTTTTTGGTTTCAGTTTTTACAAGTAGACAACATTTTGGCTAACATTTTTTTAGCGATTCTTCAGGCCTCTGGTTTATAGAGAAGCATGAGTGTTAATTTACAATATTGGATGATATTCAGAAATAGTTGTTTTTTTTAAGACTTTTACTACAGATGGAAAGTCATTAATTAATTTAGAAACTTTTGTATTACATTTACAGTATTTTAGTATAAGTAGACAGAAGCTTACCTTATTAGATACATCTAATCATCCTACATCCAATTTTGTAAATTAAAACTAGTGTTTCTCTTTAAACCAGAGGCTTGAAGATCGCTAAAAATCTTAGCCTAAATGTCACTGACTTGTAATAATTAATTAAAACAATAAATCACAGTTGAAAAAAAATTTAATTAATAGTAATATAAATATTCATAAGAAGAAATTTTTTTTAATATCCTCCCTTTTAAGAACATCACCAAATTTTTTGCTCTCAGAGACATGTTAGTGATGACATATCAGAACATCCTATCAAATAAGGTTCACACAAGGCTTTCCATGCACTATTAACTCTGAGGGAATTTCTCAGAGGACAAGGTAGACTACCCTTAATGTTACAACCCAATGTCAAACCAACTTGACAATTGTTTGACACCATGTTTACCAGAAAGGTACAGGGTGCTACTGCTTTAATATTGTATTTTTTTGATCAGAATTTTAAATTTTATTACTTTTGGGATTAAACTTGAAGGTTGGAATTGTTTATTGCACACTCTGTGGAGTTTGTTTCATTTTTAAAATAATATTCCTAAGTACTCTTTCTCTTGGAAATGTTTAATGAAGATAACAAAAGTTTAAGAAAAATGTATCTAACAGTTAATTGCTTATACTTTTTTTTATACTTCTTACTGATACATTATTTTTCAAAGCATTCTTCTGGATGTAACAACTAGGCTTCCTTGGCAAGAGATCTGGAACCAAATAAAAATGCTATTGCCTAATGGTTAATTATGTCAATACCTGCCATATATTTATTATATTCGCGAAGAGCATACATTTTTTCAACTTCACTACCTCACCATTCTACATAAATTTCTCCTGCACTTCAATGGCATAATGTAGGGGAGACCACACCAATAGTGGTTTGCTTTTTTTCAGTTTCACAAGGAATATAGAAGTTTTTAATTAAGTTGTATCAATTTGTAGAATGAGATTTTGGCTACATTGTATCTTATTATATGAACACATCTCCTCTTGTTTAAATGAAATAAGAGGAAAGGTTGATGTACGGAAATAGAGGTTTCAGAATTCACGGGATAAGCTATAAGGTCTTGAATTTCGACCTTCGGATGGAATATTTAAATCAATATTCTAAGGCTTTAATTACATAGAAAGCATTGTATTGGGCTAACAATACATGGCATTTAATAAGTTTTAATTTACTATTTTCAATGACTTCCTTACTTTGTCTTAAATGCAGTGATGGAAAACCAAAAGTAAAGCCCTGTCATCTTGGATATGCTGCATAATGTCAGATAAATATCAGAAGATAAACCAGCCCATTCTAGTACATTTGAAAAGCACTGTTTTTTAGCTAGAGGAAACATTTTCCAGGAATAATTGGTAATTGCAGTCATTATCAGATGCCTTAGGACCCATTGAGAGATTTGTTCTGAAAGACAGCTTTCATCAGATGCATGTTTGAGCTGGTAGCCACTGGCTGTGCTGTCATCTCACAAATGCTTTCTGATGTGTAAAGTATGTTAACAGGCCTTTGGGTGCAGAGAGTTAAGAGGGTTGAAGAAAATCAAGGTAACACCATGTAAAACGTAAAGTGCTTTTAACGTTATCGCCAAGTTACGATCCAAAACTTAGTTCTACTTCAGATACTCGGTCAAGGAATTGTATTGGTTTGACATATAAATACTTGAAATGTTTTATTTACCATAGAGTATGGAAGAATATTTGTCTTGTTTTCCTGACACACGAATATGTGCGGAAGATGTTGGTTCATATGTATAAGTATTGTATCACTTGCTTCCCAGAATACAGATAATTCTTTTGAAAGCATTTACTTTTGAAAGTCTTGTCTAATAATCTCTATTAATCCAACTCTGGAGATGCTCCTATCCTTATGAGTAAGAAATTCAACAACTCCACCCTTTGCCAGCATCACAGAATGTAACAACCAGCTGAGTTAGCTCAGAGGCAGAGTCACCATGGTCTCTGCAGCAGCTGTGACTGGGAGATCTTAAAGTTCAAATCCTGACAATGGTGGATTTTCAACACTAGCTTTATTGCAAGGTTGAATTCAGCCACTGCCTGGAGGATAATTCTAGTGGCCTCTTGCTCTGATCAGTGGTTTTCTTTAGTATCATAGATCCATACTGGGCAAATATTGGAGCTGTAACTTAGTGCAAGGTCCATTGCCTGTTTCTCACCTTTCTTTTACTTGTTTCTTTCTCTACCCTTAAACACACAAACATTTACATTTACATACCCTACCTCAGGCATGTCAAGGTAACAAGCTTACTAAAGCTCACAGGCACTGAGTTTTGAGAAATTGGTACGAGGTTTAAAAGAAATGGTTGTACAAATCTCTCCAGAGTGGCGGTATGTCACTGGATTCCTGGCCCTTACAGTCTTTATGAGAAGTCAGTTGACAGTTATTGCCTCAAATTTAGGTACATTAATTACCATTTTCTCTTTAAAAATCAAAGAAATATCCACTAAAATGAAATAATATAGATCAGATTTCAAATTCCCAAATAAAGAGTAAAATTTTAAAAATTGAATCAAAATGACATTTATGTTGTAATCCTGTTTTCTTAAGAGTGATATAAAAGCATGAACTTTCTACATTCGGGTTAGAATGTTTAACGGACAAATATTCATGATTGAATAGCACAGTCCATCTGTAAGTGAGAATTGTTAACTTTTAGAGACATTAATTTATTTCACATTATTACTAAATACAATCACTGAATGATTTCATAACGACACAAAATGAAAAGGAGGAAAGAATTTGCCACTCAAACATTTTCTGTAACTTAGTAAAGATGTTTGTATAAGGCAGAATTTAGTAAGAAAATAAACATGAAATAGTAATAACCAGTGAAGAATATAAACATAATACATTTATCACTTATTTGATAGAAAAAATCTGGCAAATGTATTTTTGTATGAAGCGACTATTCACTACCTTGTGCTGCTTCAGTTAGTGCATGCCTTTCTGGATTTTAAGGGGTAGTTGTGCGTAGTCAGGGGCAGTTGCTTGTGCCTGGCTCCCGAGGCGGACAAGTAGCTTGTGTGGGTGTGGTTTGAAATGCCTGCCCTACACCGTCTCGCAATTTTGAGGGCCCAATAAGAAGCTGTGAGCTGATCCTGGTTGGATCGGGAGAGGAGGAAGAAACCTGGGAAGAGAGTCCTCGCAATCCAATCAGATCAGTGCAGGATCACAATTTCCTGTGGATGAGAAACAACACCCAACTCCCAGGATATAACGTGCACTATAGTTACAGTACTAATGATAGCCATTGACACACCCGGAAACACTCATCAATTAGAGTATAACACATTTTTGGTTGCCAATTTTTTCAGATACAAAAAAAAATTGGAATATTTTTAACTGCATGAGGTACTTTAGACTATATACACTCTTTGATATAATGTCGTTAAATTCAAATTGCTGAATTTTGGATTCTGAAAACTCACATGCATGGGTTAGCAAGTATGTTCTTAACTTTTCAGGCATGTTTTGACATTCGTGAAGCACCATGTTTTTGGAAGAAAATGAAGGCAATGACATCAGATGGTCTAGACGATTTAGAATGGTTGTCCACCCATCCAAGCTATGACACTCGTCAGATAGTGTTAAATGAACTTATCCCTTCTGCTTTACAACTACGAGAGACCTGTCAGGTAAAAGAACTACATATCTCCCACATAGAAAAAATTTAAAAAATGGACCGAATTAAAATGAAAGTTAGTTTTAAATGAATAAAAAAATGTCCCTCCCAGTTCAATATCTCTTTATAGTGGTGTAGCTGAAAATTGCACCCCTCCCAATTTTACAACATAAAAATTGTTTTTAATTAAGAAAATTGTTTATTTCAATAAACTTCATTTTACCAAAGTGCTGTAAAACTGATACGAGGCATTCAAAGTGTGGACCATTTCCTTTTTTGTACTGGGTTATTTAAGACATTTAGCTAATTAAGACTACTTCTGATATATAAGTTGACATAAATCTCCTACTACAGCATTACATAACTTTCTCTATTTGTAGTATTCAAGGAAGTAAGAATTAAAATAAAATAAAATATATCTTGAAAAACTTGAATGCTCATTGCAGCTCTTGTGATCATCTTACAAATATATGTAATATTAATTCAATGAGAAATGCTTTAAATATTAAAAGCAATGCAGATTGTGTATGTGATAAGAATCATATTGTGGGGTAATTCTAAGTGCTTAAAAAATATTTACTGCATTATTAAATTTCTTGAATTTTTCTCTTTGTATTTCTCTTTTATGTTACTGAAATTTTACTGATTCTTGTTTAATATTTCAGTGCCCAAAATTGTCTTCACAAGATCCAAGACACTCGATTGACACAGTGATTCAGATGATCACTCAAAACAGAAGGATTAAGAAACAAGAGCCATTGAAAGCCTAGACAAATAAACACATTGACAGTATTAAAGTGAGATTGTATGTTTGCTATATGTCATGTTTGTAGTTTGCCAGATCTGTGATAAGTACTTAAATTTCATAAGATTGAAGTTGCAGTGAAACTCCTTTTTAATTAATTATTAGATCTTATTTTACTTTCACGACTTGTTTAACTTATAAATATATAATATATAAATATATAAATATATAAATATATAAATATATAAATTATATATATATATATAATATAATTATATATATATATATATTATATATATATTATATATATATATATATATATATATATATATATATAATGCTAGTCTTTTGCTAAATGTTATGAAAGTATATCAGAAGAGGTTTGGAAGAATTTTCTTGGAAAGAATATTGAAAATGTGAGTGAAAGGTTTGGATGTCAGTGTTAAGTGGTATTTAAGAATTATCGCCAGAACTGCTTTTACCGCTAATTATTTATTTGCTTGTAAAACATACTATGTGGAAGCAGTGAAAAGAACCCTTCATGTAGGTTAGTTAATGTTTTCTAGTTACAGAACATACTCAAACGTTTTCTTCTAAAAAATGATGAACGAATACTTCTAAAGATTCACAAATTGTAAAATATCAATTAGTATTTCGTTGTACTATATTTATGTAAGAAGTTAGTTCCACTATATCAGCATGTCATTCCAAGTTTGATTTTGGAAATAATTGCTTTGAAATAGCTATTATACTTCATATAATGATGTTGGGAAGGCAATATTAACCCATTGTTTATGGATGACAGATGTGCAAGTGTATATTCAGGTGGTGCTAATTGAAGTATGAATGTGTTTGTGTGACACTTGCTAAAAAAGGCAGAAAGCAAGATCAAGATAGTAATATAATTTAAATAAATGCAGTTCGTGAATCATTGAAGTCATTGCAACCTCGTATAAGACTGTCTTCTCATTTGTAAGGTATCTCAGGTTTGTATTTAATTGGCTGTCCAGGTGATGCCGCATCCATGGCAAAGGTGCTGATGCTTCGGTGGCCATTAGCCAATTAAATACTGACTCCGGCTGTGGAAGCCTATGCTCTCAGTATCTCAGGTTACCTTTCTCCATGAGTTATATATATTTATTATAACAGAGTAAATTATAATATAAATTTTAAAAACTGAAACTGAGAAATTGAACAAGGGGGCATTTGACACGTACTGAAGGAAGAAAGAAAAAGAGAGAGAAAAGTGAAAATGAAGTAATTGTAAGGACTTCTTCGCAAAGTTGGAATATCATTGATAAAAGCAGTTGTAATATTAAACTAAAGGCATGAAGGTTGATATCATGGTTGATCGATTATTGTGTTGCAAATATGAGCACATTTTTCCAAATTAAAAATGGGGAAAAATTATAAATGGCTTCATGACAGAATGAGGAATAAGACACTGTTGTAAATAGTTAATTGAAATAAACTTTCTTATTCACAATTGTGCAGAAAATATGCATGACCAATTGTTTGAAAAAAAATCTTATATTAAATTTCAAAATATATTTTTTTTGATCTAATGCCCAGGTCAATTTCATTCTTTTAAAAAATCACTCGCTGGATAGCTATCATTCATATACTTCTGGGTTAATTGAATTTTTTTAAAATTTTCCCTTCAAGATATTTTTTGTAAACTAATAGGAAACATGATTGAATTTGCAAGTTATTAACTTCTCTTTAGTGCCAAATATGTACAGAAAAGAGATAACAAACCACTAAACTAAGATAACGAAATGGAGGCAAAACTAAATTTTTGTTCGCGTCCTTATTGGTCACACTTGGCAAACTTGGAGTAACTCCACCTTTACATGTCTCTGGCAGGTTATTGCCAAAACAGATCACTCTACTCTTCAATCTTTTTCTAATAGAAATTTTTTTTTGTGCTTAATCAGTGCATGTTTATTATCAATGCTTTTGAATCATTTTATGATTAAAAATCAGACAGATTTGGTTGTTGCATTTGCCTGAAATTTTTTGTAAGACATTTCTTTAAAATTTTGATGAAAATAAAAACCGTAAGGAACAACACAGTTAAAAAGGTGTTTCACTGTACTTGTGTGAGATTTATTTGTAGGACCTTTATTCTGAATAGAAAATGTTTTCACTCAGCTTTTATATGAATTATGAAATTGAGTTTCATGATATTTAAAGAATTTGACAAAGAATGATTTATGATTTGTCTGAAAGTTAACATGACAGAACCAATCTAATTTTTCATTAATTTTTGAATAAATATTTATAAGAATGAAATTACTTTTGAAAGTTATTGTTTTTCATAACATCCATTTTCTTCATTGATTCGTAAGTGCATAATCACAAGATTTTTGTTGCTCTGGTTGCAATAAGATATCTTACCTCTGTGGAGAGTAAAATTGTCTAGACCAGAGGTCTCCAAAGTATGGCCTGTGAGTCACATCCGGCCTTCGGCTGTATTGTGTGGCCCGCCAACACAACGTGTATTTTAACTAGTGGCGTTGGCCCAATGGATGCAAGTGATGCGTCGCATCCCCAAGTTATTCGGATCTTAAAACTTTTGTTAAAAATATGTACAAGTACCTTGCGTATCTTTGCATGCGCTTTCCGGTAGGTGTCTGTCACCTCCGCGGAAGTGATAGGTCGAGAAACATTCCTTCAACAGCTTAGCTTCGTTGCCGAGGTCATTGAACTCGAACTCACCTTGTGCTGCGTGGAAGATGCGAGGTTTAGGTCGACAGTCTGGCTGTCGCAGATCTCTGATTTCTCATTGGCGCTTCTGTTTCCCCTCCCAAAGCTTCGCCATCGCCACCTTTCAGTACAAGAACGGGGAATCCCAGTGATCACGCGCTACAGACTTCGGACTCCAGAGTGGGTTGTGGGGGAGGGAACCTCGTGACCACACGCATGCGCAACTCTTAAGGCCCATTCACGATGCAAACGTAAATATAAGCATAACGCATAGACGTAAACATTAACATAAGTGATAGACTGAAGTATTCACCATGTCTAACATAAACGTAAGCAAAATAAGTTTCTATTGTGAGACATTCTAGTTTACTATTTGTTGCCTGTGAGAATCGATTTCGAGGTATCGACTGTGTCCCATATGTGGTCGTCCATCGACTTCGATCCTATTTCGATTGTCGATTTTTATTTACCATACTGTGATTGGTTTATTTCTCATGTCTGAACTTCAGACTCTGAAGCATTAGCCCGGAAACGTGACGCTTGCTAGCTTTTAAGTTAACGTCTTACGTGTTATGCTTGTGATAACTCATTGTGAATGAGTCCGCTTATGGACGTAGTCCTAACTTTTATGCTAACACCATGCTTGTTTGTTTGTATTGTGAATGGGCCTTTTTACGCGACACGCACGTAACTCTTATCTTACGCGACTGATAATGGTTCTTTGATGACAAGTTTTTCACGTGTATTGTGTTGTGTGTTTTTTGCGAAAGTATTGAGTTTTTCTTGAAACTGGGAAGTAGAGTATAACATGTACTTTCACAAAGATAAACCATAGTTTCGAAATTATAACACAATCATTAGAATCCAACAATTTTCGTCCGAAAAGAGCAACATGGCGAGCACATAGTTTGTAGAAGTGGATGAGTTATTATACGCGCATGTTTTCTTGGATCCCGGAATACCTATCCCCACTCTTTTGCCAACATTAGTTGAATTAAGAATAAATGATAGTAACGAACGTTTTAGACATCTGATAACCATAATGTTCGTTCCCGTGCAATAGAAGCTATTTTGCAGCGAAAAAGGAACAACAAATTTGACGCAAAATTCCTTTCGTCAAAATAACCCAACTCCCCACTCCTCTCGTAATTAGCGAAGCGAGGGCTCAAGAAAACTTGCGCGGATAATACTTGAGGCCGGAAACGGTGAATGAAAGCTCTCAATGTCCTATAAAATGTTTCAAAATTATATATAGTTCTCAAGAACGTTAGAAGATAACGGCAAATAGCCCTTTAATTAAATAATTAGGCATATTGTTTATTTCAATGTACTTTTGTGTATTATTATTTTGTTTATTATTGCCAGTGATTCTAACTCGAAGCCTGCCGTTACCTTCATACAGGCTATAACATTTTATTGCAAGATACAAGAATCTGATTTTCTGTTACATTCTCTTTGGTCGACATATCAGCCATGTCGTACCATTGTTAATCGCACATGAAAATATTATTATGAATCCTACATAAAGAAAGATTTGTTTATAAGTATATTGTAGTAATGGCTGAAGAGAGATTTCCAGAAAAAAATAAATCAATGTCAAATCAATAAAAGATGTTATAGGCCTTTCATCCAAAAACGTATGTAGAGTAGAAGAAATTGCTTCTAATATTCTCTCAACTTGCTGATATGGCATCTAAGTTATAATGTGTATCAATTTCTTTGGATGAATCAACAGATGCGACAGACGTAGCATACGTGTTCTTGTTTACAAGAGGTACAAGTCCTATTGATATTATGGAAGAATAGTTTGATATGAAAGAATAGTCGTTAGCTTGTATGAAAATACTACAGAGAAAGATGTTTTCAAAGAAGTACTGAAATCTATAAGTACACCCTCAATTTGTCACAATTTGACTACAGACTACTTTCACTACAGATGGTGGAAGGAATATGTGTGGCACAAAACCTGCTGCTTTTGAAAAACGTCATGCAGTGTGAAGCCAAAGGAATTAGTATACCCATGACAATACATTTGTTCTTCATGAAGAGGCACTATGTGGAAAATCAATGAACATGCATTCTTTAATGGCATTTCTGATTTCTTTTGAAAATTGTATTTTCACACCTGGACTCCGTTACCATCAAATCAAGTATTTTCTAAAGGACCCAGAATCACTAATATCTGATCATACTACTGTAAGTTGGCCCTGTTGTCGCAACTGAGTCGTTTCTTTTCTTTATGTACAGAAATTGTAATATTCCTGATCGGAAAGTACTATCTGACAAAGAATGGAAACTGGTTTTCATTTCAGGTAATGACCTTTATCAAAATTTCATAAAAACTAGTGGTGCTACAAAAGTACATTTTTTCTCGCGTTATTTCTAACTGCTCCGCTACGTTACCCTACTAACAAAACCTGCAAAAGTGCAACTTCAACTAGCAAAAAGTTTTTGAGCTCCGAGACTCGAACTCAGATCTTCAGTTGACTCGCATTCACTAATGCCACTACGCCACAGAAGCGCTGTATGGACCACACTCGGGCCAATGCTGAAAAACGAACATTCTGTCATGTAAAGTACACTCAAAAATCAAAATGTTTTAAATTCTTGAAGCCTCGAGTTCATTCAGATCGATCAGGAAATATAAATTTTGGAGGAAATCGGCTGAACGGTTTAGGCCCTAGCGATAATTACAGACTGACACATTTTCCTGTCAATCGTTTTTTCGGTATCAAGGGCCCACAAAACATGAATTCTGGTCACACCACGTGTTAGAAGATTTTTCTGTATTTATCAACTGGATTTATCCTCTTTTTCATTACCAGTGCCCGGCAAAACTTTTAGTTTTCCGCCGAAACTTTGACGCTTTCCGGCGCATAACTTTCTTTAAATAAAATTACATAACTTTCTCTTCTTATGAAGTATACCTTCGTAAGGGCGAGAAAGTTAAAATACAAGGAGAAAATAACCTCATATGTGATCTTTACACTCATATCAAGGCATTTAGGCAGTCATTATTTCTAGAAAAAGAGATTAATACAAAATCTTTTGCTCACTACCCTACCTGAAACTTCCATATCGTTTGGAAATCCTTTCAGAACTAAAAATACAATTCAAAAGTATATTCACTGAGTTCGATATTTAACTCTAGAGCTATAGTTTTTCAAAACCCGTTTAGTGTCAAATGGATAAATTCCCAGTAGACATACACTATGTAATCAAAAGTATCCGGACACGTGACTGAAAATTACCAGTTCGTGGCGCCCTCCATCGGTAATGCTGGAATTCAATAGGGTGTTGGCCCAGCCTTTACATTGATGACAGCTTCCACTCTCACAGGCATACTTTCAATGAGGTGCTGGAAGGTTTCGCGGGGAATGACAGTCCATTCTTCACGGAGTGCTGCACTGGGGAGAGGTAACGATGTAGATCAGTGAGGCCTAGAACGAAGTCGGCATTCCAAAACATCCCAAATTGTTCGATAGGATTCGAGTCCAGATTCTGTGCAGGCCAGTCCGTTACAGGGATGTTATTGTCGTGTAACTACTCCGCCACAGGCCGTGCAGTATGAACAGGTGCTCAATCGTGTTGAAATGTGATGCAATCGCCATTCCCGAATTGCTCTTCAACAGTGGGAAGCAAGATGATGTTTAAAACATATACGTATCCCTGTGCCGTGATTGTGCCACACAAAACAAGGGGTGCAAGCCCCCCCCCCCCGTGAAAAACACGACCACACCATTACACCATTTTGGACGTGTCCGGAATACGTTTGATCACATAGTGTAAATGGACATAATTGACCTCAAAGCATATGATGTAATGCATTTACAATTCCAATTTGCAGTTCCAATAAAGACATTTGATTGAATTCTACAAACACTTATGGAACTTCTTCCAAAAATTAATTTATTTTGATAAGTGACTTGTCAGTATGTAGTAGAAGTTCTAGATGTGAGTAGACGTTTTGAAAATGAAGTATATGAAGTCCAAGTGCAGATGGTACACTTGAGAGACATTCTACAGATCTGTTCAAATTATAAGATTATTATATTATATTTTCAAATTTTATTTGTAATGCAACGATACAATGAACCGTGTATGTACGACCTTGGAAACCTATTTCACGTCGAAAATGCCTTGGCTCAAGAGTTTGATGGTGATGGACAATCCTGCCTGCCAACTGCGCTAATGAGGTTCTTCAAAACTATGTTCTCTAGACTGAACTACTGAGATTAAATTAATTTTATTGTAGAGCGTATAAAATATGTTAATGTCCACTGAGAAGTAAATAGTAGTAGTACAGACTTAAGACTTCCGTGATTCCTGTACCTGAAAATGAATTCATTTTTGTATACGTAATATTACTTTAAAGTTACGTTCATATAAAATGTGTTGTTATATGAAGAGCGATAGAACAGCGAATGGATGGTTCAGTGGCAAAGTTGTAATATTCGAGAACTCTGGAAGAAGCGGGTTTGATTCCCAGTGTGCGAAGAAACATGCCATAGATACTTTCTACTTTCCATAAAGTTTACTAAATAACATTTTATTTATTTTGAAAAAATGTTGGCAGCAGCACGCTGTTAAACACGTGTCTTACACTGCTGTTAAAGTATCTCAAATTTCTCAGTATATAATTCTATAGTTCAATTAATTGGCATGTATTGATCACATTTCCTGTTAGTTTATCACCATCTTTCACAGCTATCTCATGTATCCATCGTGAACTTCACTTTGTTAACTGTTTTTGAAGGCATTTAAGGTCTCCTTTCCCATGTAGTCTGCTGGCAGTTCATTCCAAGTATTGACAATCCTTATGGTGATGAAGTGAGATTCTGTCCAATCCTTGTTTTTTCTTTCCTCAGTTTCATTCTGTGTACTTATAATCTGTCATCTGTAGATCTTGTGAAGATAATCTGTGAATTGTGAAACATAACAATTCCTCATTTTGCAAGTCACTTATGTCAATTCTATACCTTCTCTGTTCCAATGTGAGTAGCGAAATTTCTTGGCATCTCTTGGTTGTCTTTTCATGGCACTCTCGTGGGATCCTGGTGATTTTCCTTTGTTCATTCTCTAATTGTCATTTACCTTTTTTATAATATGGGGACCAGACCACGTCCAGTTTAGAGAAAGCCTTCATCATATATATAGTACACTATTTGCTTGTTTGGCGACCTTTGTGACCTGTCTTTCCTATTTCAAATATTGCGAAATTAGTACTCCCAGGTCGTTTTGTTGTACTGTGATATCCAAGTTGTGATTTGAAGTCGTGTAGGGTAGTCTTGTGTTTTTCTCCCCGATGTGAAGAATTTTGCTTTTCTCGGTGTTCAGCGGGAGTAACTGTGTTTCAGAACCGTTTTCCGTTGTAGTAAGATCATTCTGTAATGCTTGGTGATCATTCAGTGGATTTGCAAAAAGTTTTGTATCACTACACAGCAATTCCATCCTATAGATATTCCCTCACTGCGATCACTTGCGTATAGAGTGAACAGCATCAGACCCAAAACGGATCCCTGAGGAACCCCGCTTGTAATAGTTTAGGATGTCGATAGTCTCCAATACGTACTTAAAAATTTCTATTATAGAAGTAATCTCTAATCTAAGCTAATAATTTGCCTCGTATCCCCATTGCTTTTAGTTTATAAATCAGTTGTTTGTGGGTGACTTTGTGGAAAGCCTTAGCATGGTATCCAGGTAAATTACGTCCATAGGTTGTCCTCGGAGTAACATTTCTGTCTACACATCAAGTGAGTTGATCAGGTTGGTGACAGTTGAACTTCCCGATACAAATACGTGTTGCTCTCTGGTTATATTGTTGCTTTGTACATGATTGTGGAATTTTTGGACTATCAGTCTTTCCATCACTATTCCAACCGTGCTTGTCAGACTTATTGGCCCGTGATTCTGTGTCAGTTGTTTGTCGATTTTTTAAAAACAGGTATAATCTCAGCTATTTTCCATGCAGAAGGACGTTTTGCTGTTTCGAGTTACTGTCTGAAGGGTTTATTGAGAGTTGGTGCCAGATGTGTGCACATTTTTTTAAATAGACTGTTGGAATATGATCTGGACCACTAGATGAGCTTTCCAGACCGACAAGGTTTAAGAGACCTCTATATTTGTAAATTCAATATTTTCTGTGCATCTGTTTGTAATGTTTGGTTGTTAATTCAGTGCTTCTATTGTGTAAACCTCTTTAAAGTAGTCTGCGAAGTGTTCTGCAATTTCCAGAGAGTCGTTTAGCTGTGAGCCCCCTGCATTGTACGATTCTAGTTTGTCCTGTCTTGCACACAGTCTGCTTTCTGATAGAAATAAGAATGGATGAATGGATGAATTTTCATGTGCCCCACGCTTGTGCAAAAGATTCTGGTCCAGGACCAGACCAGACCAGACCAGACACATAATGAAATGCTTAAACACCTACCGGAAAACGCTCGTTCTTTTCTCCGTATTTTCAACCTGATCAGGAATGAACATTGTTTCTCAAGGACATGGCGTGAAGCCATTGTTATTCCAATCTCTAAAGAAGGAAAGAACAGAACAATCCCCTCAAGTTACTGCCCAATCTCGCTCACACGCTGTGTGCAAGCTTACAGAGCGAATGGTAAACACGTCTGGTCTGCCTCCTAGAAAAAAGGAATCTATTTACACTTTTCAGTGAGGTTTCAGGAAGAACACGTCAACCGTGGACCACTTTGTCTCTCTTGCTACACAGATCTCCATTTCTGTCGCGTTACGACAACTCCCGGTAGTAATGTTTTAGGCCTAGAAAAAACATATGGCACTACCTGGTGGTACGGCTTTCTTCGCACCTTGCATTCTTGGGGCCTTAGGGGACGGTTCTCTTTGTTTCTAGGAGATCTTCTTTCGTCAAGATCTTTCCACGTCCGCCTTGGTGACACATTCCCAAGTCACCAGTTAGAAAAAGGGTGTTCCCCAAGGACAAATGCTGAGTGTCACAGTTTGCCATCAATAGTATCGCATCAGTAATTCGAGAGCCTGTGAAATCATCGCTCTTCGTTGACGACTTTATCATATTCTGCTCCTCGACGAGCATGCAAGTTATTGAGGGACAGTTACAGCTTGTCCTCTAAAAACTGCAAGAATGGAGCGATAAAACTGGATTCAGGTTCTCTCCTTCAAAATCCAGTTGTATGCACCTTTGTAGAATTCATCACATCCATATACAACCTTATATTTTTTAGGGGCCAACTTCCCTTCGAATCCGCCATTTTCCTTGGCCTGACGTTCAACGAGTGGCGAAAGCATATTCAAAACTTCGAGAGTCGATGTGAATCACCTTTGAACCTCCTTTGCGCCCTTACTGGTAGATCATTTCTTAGATTATGGGTGTATTATTTATGGGTCAGCGTCTTCATCGACCCCGGTCATTGAATACCATACACAATGCCGGTATACGGGTCAGCACAGGCGCCTTTCGCACGAATCATCGAAATGCATCGCATCGAATGCATCTTGGCCGAGGCTGGTGAACCATCCCTGAGCCGAAGGCAAAATATTGTAATCCGTTCCTATGGAGCGATTGTATCAGCTATAAATACTCTTCGCGCCAAGCAGTTCTTCGCCCAAGTCACGGGTCATCATACGCACTCAGACCATCCCCATCGTTCCGGCTATCTGTCTCTACACGCTCTTGCAGTAACTCGGTATAAAACTCCCCATCCCTGTGAAATCCTCCCGAAGTCTTGTTGAAACTTAGTGCAGCGCTTATACTGCAGAAAAATATGTGCTCTTTGAGGCACTTAGGTTCGCTGAATCGATGACATTAAAAGAAGTAGTGATACGCAGTGATTCAAAACACTCACTCGAATCTCGCTCTTGCTTCTCCTCTTGCGACCCTCTGACAGCGATCATCCAATACCAAATCCATCATTTATTGGTGCGTCGTTATAATTTGTTTTTTATTGGATCCCTGGCCACGTTGGAATAATAAGTAACGAAATTGCTGACCAAGCAGTAAAGCTCGCCACGAAGAAAACTGAGGTAGACATCCTCACAGTCTCAACAATTGATACCAAGCTGTTTATCAAACGCTCTATTCCAAGTGCATGGCAAACAGAGTGGTAGAACTCAGATTTTAAGCTCTCGAGAATCAAGGATTTCATAACGCCTTGGCCTTCATCATCTCGTGGCTCTAGGCGCGAGGAGATTATTCTGACACGCCTTCATATTCGGCCGCTATACACTTTTTACTGTGGCCTTGTAGACTCCACAAAGTGTCAGGTTCCCATCCTTGTTCGACATCACTACCACGGTGACGCGCACGTTGTATGGAGCACAGTTCGAATTTCCTCGTCTTAAGCATATTCACTATCTGTCTACGTCTTCTAGAGTTCAATGGGAAATATAGATATTCAAATTATAGTTAATATTGTCGTGTAGGAAGTCGAATTCTTCACGAAGGGCACGATGTGGGATAACAGCCCAAAGCTATAGGTGATTTTCTTTTGCAAATAGTTTTTATTACCCCAGAAGGAATATTTTTTTATCAATTCTTGCCAAAAACTTTGATTCCCTTGAATCTTCAGAATTGAGCTGGCTTAGTGTAGGGATCCCAGAATTAAGAAAACGTGGAGAGAATAGACTTCTCCTCATAGCTCATCAATACAGTTTGTAACTGTTCTTGACGTTAAATGAATAAACATATGGGAGTTCCTGTATGTCGTCGAGCACTCGTGTCTGTAGGGCATGTTGCACCTTCTGCGCGAGTATGTATATGTGTTGCCGACTGATCACATATCGCACGAGGATCCTCAACTAGTTGTTATGGCAAACAGACTGCAACGACGACGCACAGTGCGATGAAATGCCACAAACGTGGTTAAATTCAATATCACTTGCAATTTTCAATATAATGGCTGTATTGGGGCTTATGTTGGGGTTTCCGGTCTCACTAAATACGAATATATCAAAAATGAGAAATTCCAAATGGCGGATGATATTTGGAAAAACCTAGAAGAATGCAACAAAAATGAGTATATTGGGATTTTCGAGCTTACTGATTACGAATAAATCAAAAATGAAAAATTAGAAATGGCTGATTCAATATGGTGAATCACTTTTGGAAAAAATGTGGAAGAATGCAACAAAAATGACTATTTAAGTTTTTGATTACAAATTTGATACATTTGAACAAATAATGTTTTAGACAGTCTTTAGTAAAATCATTTGCTTTTAGATACTCTGAATGCTAAAGGTGAGACGATGCTCAAATGTTCAGATAAAAACAAAATACTTTCGTCAGATAGCGTACGACTCTTCTTAACCCTAGATTACAAAGGCGTCATCTGTCAGATGACACAACTAGTGCCCAAAGCTTACTCCACCCCTCTTCCCCTCACTCTTCATTTCTCAAACTCTGTGTAGCTTCATTGTGTTACTAGCCGATGAAATACACATATCATTGTGCCCATGCCTATTTCTTGTATACACCATTTTAACACGCGTCGTCCTATAGACTAGGCCTTTGTAGTTACGTCAGTGATGTTTTAGTGCTTTATTCGCCAATATAGTAAATAGACATTTCTTGTCTTGTAGCCTTTAAGTTTTTTTTCTGAATATTTAGCAATCATAATTGGACGATGGCGATCATAATAAAGATCGCCTGACGAGGTACTTCTGCTGAAGTTTCTCAAAAGCCATGTGTGCACAGCACCAAGCAAGTGTCTGCTGTGAGAGTCAAGTAATTTAGGTGTATCTATAAAACCCTTTAAATGTATTTTATAACTACTTACCATAAATGTTCAATCCATTAAATTTAGTGTTTCATTGTAAACATTTGATTTTCTTTATTTTTTCCCAAGGAGTCTGCCAGATTACGACTTTGTAATAACACTTGGTACCTTTGAAATCTAGCTTTAATGTAACATGGTACCCAACTAGTGATCTTTGCATTCAAATAAAATGAAAGTCAGTAATGATGACTAAAAAATATTGTATGACACACGTGGTAGAGGTTATTTTATAATTCTCGTAGGATTGCGCTACTCGGTCTGTCGGTCTCGTGTCGCAACATTTCTTGCAAAATGAAATGTAATTTTTCATTAAAAAAT